ATTCTACAACAGTGGCACCATATAGCATTTGTCCCTTTGTGACTGAGATACCTCACTCAGCATAAGTCCAAAGGCAATGTGTATGACACAGAAAACCATCTTCAATGCCATGCATATGTGCACAAACCCAAGAAGCACACATACACACACATAATGGAGATTTATCTTGGAATCCTTTCATTTTGGCAATTTGTTATCTAAAATAATACTGAAATATTGGAAACTTTAGTATTAATTTTGTATACATCATATATGTAATTCTTAATTTAAACAATTACTCTAACAACTCACCCTGTTTTTCTTCAGGTTAGAAAGTTCATCCACAACTATTTTCTGCTCTTTAATCTATTGAAAGAGAAGAAATAAAAATACTTAAATCAGAGACGCTCAGTTTCCTCAGTAAGGATCCTTTGGTTATTTCAGAAACTGAAATGGAGTCCCACCACTGCTGTCAAGTTGGTTCTGATTCATTGCGAGTCACTTTCACCAGGTTTCCAATGCTCTTAATCTTTACAGGAGGAGACAGCCCTTGAAGCTGCTGGTGGATTTAAAACAATGAGTTTTCAGTAAGCACACAACATGAAACACATCGTGCTACAGGGCTTCTAGAGACAGACTCTCATTCTCATTGTCTCTGAGTCTGAAGCAATGCATAACTGACTCTCCACTAGGTTCTAAAGGCTGTAAATGGTATGAGAAGACAGATACTGCTCATCTTTCTCCCAAGGAGCAGCTGGTGGGTTCTTGTAGATTAGGACCACTGGAGAGAATGGTCTTTGAGGTACAGCATAACTATCTGTAGAGACTAAGCCAACAGAGTTCACTGGAGATAGAGAGAAGACCTGCATGAGGTACAGCATAACTCTGTAAGCCAACAGAGTTCATTGGAATTAGAAGGCCCTCAGCCAGAGTGACTGACATGGTGACTGCAGCAATGGGTTCAGGTGTGTCAGGAATGATGAGGATGGCACAGGACAGGACAAAGGTTCAGATGTGCTGTTCATATGGTCGCTATGAGACGTGCTCGGCTTGAGGTCACCTAACAACAATGATGTATAGAACTGACAAGGCTTATCAAGGATTTCCTTTGGTGTGAACTCATAAACACCACCCATGGAAACAGCAGCCAAAAACCAAATTGATTTATTACACCTGGGAAAATCTGGTTCCATGGACCTTCTTAAAGTGCTAAAGAGCAAAGATGTCAGACAGGGATTTCACTTTACTTCAAACGAGAAAACTGGTAAAGATTGGAGAGATTTGCCCAAAATGTCTCTATCAATTCTGAATTAAACCAAATACAATCTAGAACACTTAATGCCCACAAAGCTAAATACTCCTTCCAAATTCCTGGGGCTTACTTGTCTGTGTTGTATAGAGATTTATTTTATATTGGCTTCTTTTCGATAACCAGGTATACGTAAGTCTTGATATCACTGTTCTGACTTCTGAGTAGAAAAAGGTAAAGGGAGTAGGACAAGAAAGAATCCGAGAGGGTCACAATGAAAAGTAACGGTGCCTGGTGTAGGTGGTAAGAGGGCTGAGGGTGAAGCATGGAAAATTTGAAAGATGCTTCAAAGGTGGAACCGGCATCAACAGAGCTGGCCGTCAAGGATGGCTCCCGGGTTCCTAGCACAGACAAATGGACGCTGGTGGTGACATTTTCCTGAATGGAGTTCAGATCAGGGATAAGTCTTTCTGAAAGTTTTAAAGAGTAAAGAAAAAGATCTCAACAAAACCTCTGTGCCACTGCTGAGTCTTGCATTGGGTGCTCAGTGTCTCCTTTGGACTGTAAACTGTCCAAAGAAAAGGCTGCTACAAAGTGCTAAGCAGTTGCAAAGGCGAGACCCAGCGAGTCATGCACTGTCATCGACAGACCAGGTGCCGGGGCCCCGGGGTGCCCAGTGCGGAGTTTGAAGGGCCCGCCCGAGACCTGTCCCGCCTCGTCCTACACTCGCCTTGCTGCCAAGTTCCTCCTTGTGCAGGCTCCGGTAGCTGGAGGACACCAGTCCAACACTGTCCTCCCGGTGCGTCCCCGCGCTGGGCATCTCCATGGACCGCAGACTGACACGAGCTCACAGTACGGCAGACCACCACGCAGCCAGGGCCCCCTAACACCGGGTGCCCTCCGTGGCTCCGCCCCCTCCTTTTCCGCTTCCTGTAAGCCCTACCGGCTTCACGTGCATCAGAGCGCCTGCGCAGTCCGGGTTGAGTGAGGGCAAGGCAGGAGAGCAGATCTGCGCTTGCGCTGAACAGCACCGAGCGCAGGAGAATGCGTCCCTGTTTGTGAAATGTGAGAAATTCCTGGCGTCTCCCTCTCGCGGTCGGATGTGGAAAATCTCATGGAAGTTCTTCACGCTTTTGCGTCCAATAGACATCTAGTTATAAGCGTCACCCAGTGGCAAATAGAAGGAATTGCAGGGCAGTGAAGCTAGC